AAACATGTAGATGCAGCTTCGATTGTAAAGTGGCAAGACATGTTATCTCAATTGTAAACAAACAAAATGGCAAAATTAAAAGGCACATGTGCGCACACACACCAAAAAGATGAAAAACTGCACATGAACATCTGTGCTAATATATCTTAGGCCTTTGGCCACCGACGCAGCAAAAGGAAAACAGTACATGAGGATCTAGGCATTTCACAGGCACGTCGTCTCCAAAACATCGTTGGTCTCCTGCATGAAAGAAACGAATAGTTTTATACCTTAAAAAGTGAGGTCTAAAAAATACCGGGAACATGAAGATCAAGAAGAGTTTGTAATCAATTGAAGCCTAGGAATTTTGGAAGCTCTATAGAACTATTTGGTGACTTTAAAGTTAGTACTCGTATTGTATATCATTGACTGTAAGTGTGTTCCCTTTGCAATTATCTCACCTACTGTACATATAAATAGTGATTTAGAACGAAGAGCCTTTTCCCTGTGTACCATTAAAAAAGATGGCCTTTTCCTACAGGCCACTAAAAAGTTCGGACTTACCTAGGTGCCATGACACTTTATTTCTTTGCCCCCCAAGCCATTCCGCCCATTTTCGCTGGTAATGGTGTGTAACGGCGAGGAGAAAAGACCGAAGTGCCCTCAGTCTAGGGAGGATGAGTGAAATTGCCGTTTGCCCTGTGTGCCACTCCCTGACCAAGCGTTTGAGCGCCAAGACGGCTGACGTGGGCAAGTTTTTTGGCGCCAAAGGCACTGGGCTTGGCGCCAAAGAGACACCGCTTGGTGCTTAAACGAGGAGCTATCAAGCAACGCGTACCAAGCAGCGCAAGCAAAGCTTCGAGCTTCGCCATGAACATGGGTAGCAGGACCCCGGCGACGATCCGTGCAAGCATCTTGCGCTGCGTGCCTCATCAGGTGCCCGGCGAAGGCCGCCCGTCCGGCACGCACGCAATGCTGCGCGCGTGGCGCGCATCCGGCGGTCGGTGTCTCGCGGCTCCGTTCTTCGAGCCGACGAGGCGGGGCGGCGCCCATGGGCGCTTCTCGGCGCCCGCTGGCAAGAAGCGTGCGTCCGCGTCGATCGGCATCTCAGACGCCAACAGGCGCTGGGCTGCGCCACGGTGGGGACCCATCAACGACGTCAAGTGCATGGAGGCTCCTCCGCTAACGCCGCCTTCCCAAATGACGGCATCATCATGCTCACCGGTGTGTGTGTGTGTGTGTGTGTGTGTGATGCAATCGCCCATGCATTTCGATCTCTCAAGAAACTAATTGATGCATGGGGCAACTCGGCGGTGCGTGCGTGATGACCGAAGGACCCGTTCAGTCGCCGACCAAGGACAACATCCGCATGGCGATGCAATGGCTGGTGCAGGGGTGCGAAAGAACGGCGACTCCTCGGTGTTCCATTTCTCGAAATTTGGCGCGCGAGGTCGCCGACGAGGATCGCGACGAGTTGGGCGCAGACGACGAGGCCATCTCGCTCGCCTTTGGACTCGTTCTGGAAGGGCCCCATCTGGACGACGAGATCATCGTCCGCCTGGCCGGTGCACGGCGCTAAGTCGCACGCCGTCGTCGACGCCGCCACAGCGCCACCGGCCCTCGACCTCCCTTCCTCTCGCAACATGTCTAGGACCGGAATCGGCGGTGGGAGGATCACCGCCCCCCGTCGGGCGCTCGCAAGGGCACGAGCGGCGGCCAAAGTGCTCATCAACGGCTACGGCGACGCAAGCAAGACCAAGTTCGCCGTGGTCGATTGCACACCGATCCTATACTTCTATGGTCGCCATGAACGAATCGACGCTCGATCTCTTCCGATTGGTTTGACACGCGACATGCCATGTTCTATTGCAGACGCCGGAGGCTCGCGCGACGTGGGGGCCATGACGACTGGCTTCATCAAGGCGGTGGAATGCGAGCCGCGCAGGGGGTCACCCACGACCACCGCTCACCTCCATGAAAGCCATCATGACCAACGCCCGGGCCGCAACCACCGCAGGTCCTATCGGCCAGCCGGCGGCTACCGCACGCAAGGTCGCAAACTTCATGTGGCGGCGGTGAGGCTCGCCATCGCGATCATCGATGAGTCGAGTAATCGACTTTTGTTGTCCGTCACGACATGCAACTCATATATGCAATGCATGCATGGCTCGTCTTGCGGGAACCTAACCCGCCCCGCCGGAGATGTTCGACGCTCACCATGCAAAGCCCTTTCTTGCGCCAGAAGAGCCTCGTCCGGCTTGCCATTGCAGACTACATACCGCCGCCCTGGACTCTATAAACCGCCATGTCGCCGGAACAATAAACCAGATGGGTTTAAGGATGATATATACTTGCTTGCTAATGATGTGTGACTAATTGTCTATGTGTCAATAATGTGTGTCTACATGTCACCGGACTGAGGCAAGCTCATAGCTTGTGGACGATTCGGTTCATCATATCGTCCATGGCTCCCGAGAGCCTCTCGTACCTTATGGCCCATTGTAACAAGGCTATTGTTTCGTGCATTTTCGGTAGCGATTGATGGGCGCTTCACGGGCACATAAAGTGAGGCACGCTACCGCAAGATTTTGCACCGGATCATCGCCGGTCCTCGCTACCCATGTTCATGGCGGCTTCGGAGCTTTGCTTGCGCCGCTTATACGCGCTGCTTGATAGCTCCTCGTTTAAGCACCAAGCGGTGTCTCTTTGGCGCCAAGCCCAGTGCCTTTGGCACCAAAAAACTTGCCCACGTCAGCCGTCTTGGCGCTCAAACGCTTGGTCAGGGAGTGGCACACAGGGCAAACGGCAATTTCACTCATCCTTCCTAGACTGAGGGCACTTCGGTCTTTTCTCCTCGCCGTTACACACCGTTACCAGCGAAAATGGATGGAATGGCTTAGAGGGCAAAGAAATAAAGTGTCATGGCACCTAGGTAAGTCCGAACTTTTTAGTGACCTGTAGGAAAAGGCCATCTTTTTTAATGGTACACAGGGAAAAGGCTCTAGAATGAACACTTTTTTTACCGGAACAACACCTGATTATCTATAGGCTTGAACATGCCTTTTAATAAGCTCCTGAAACAACCAGGGCTCTGAAATCTTCAACTCAGAATGCAGTTAGCTGAAGGAAGAACTTACCAAGCTGAAAAGGAAGCAGATAGATCATCTCTTGACGGAGTTTAGGGTTTGGCCCATCCAGCACATGTCAACTTGCATCGAGAATTCCATGCAGCTCATTGACCCATGCAGTGTCCAGTTCATAATGACAGCTGCAAGTGTAACATGCATCTAAGCTGTTATACAACTAAGTTAATTATCATATAGCTTAGCATTGGTGGCTAGGTCCAAGAGAAGATGAAAGTTGCATATGAAAATTTAAGCAGTCCAAAAAAATCTAGGACCATAAATTCATGTCTCGTTGAACAAATCTCATTCAATGTGGTGCAACTGGAAAATACATCAGCATGACACTTCACTGCTGAAAATGCAAATCAATAACATTGTTGTAGATAACTTTCCAAAATAATCTCAATAAGCACAATTTCAGTGTAGGTTGTACACATAAGCTGAGCAGTCAGACATGTAAACAAAAGGATTTGCAGACACATTTTCTCTAGATCTGATTGGGTAATTAGGCAGCAGTTTTTTTTTTGAACCGGATACTGTTTTTCAAGTAATTAAAAGGCTGTAAAACTGTTTGTCGCTAAGGCCACATTGTGAGACATAATAATAACCTGTAATGAAATAACATGGCAAATAAGTAAAAAGGGTTAAGGTACAGATAATTGGTACCTAAATTACAGGGTCGGATCATAAATATGTTAAATTCTCCATGCATCTGGAATAATCAGCAGCGTCCTCATTCCTCAGATCTGAAAAGATAAGAACATATATATGTACAATTAAACTGGAACCTGGGATATGAAGCCATCACGAATAAAAAGCTAAAGGAATTCGAAAGAGTACGAATTAATACCTGCAGCCTGAAGAAGGAAACACCCTCGATATGTGTTTGAGCCTGGAGAAGGAATGAAACATAGACAAGACTAGAACAATACCATGGAGATTGAACGTACATCCGAACAGAGAAGAAAAAGGGGACACGGACCTTGACGGTGACCAAGAAGAGGACGGACTGATGGAAAGCAGAATCGCATGAGCGACGTGCAGGAGGCCGCGCGGGGGGAGCGGGGACCTCAGCCGCGACGGCAACCGAGCCGGGGGAAGGAGGGAGACGGAGTGAGAGAGAGGAAGCGGAGGCGGACGCTGCGAGGCAGCGTGTACGGGAGAGGAGGCGAGGTTTTTCAGCAGCGCCGATCGGAGAATCAGGAGTTGGTATTTATTTTGGTTTCCCGGATTCTAATGGGAAGTTTAGTAAAGTAAATAGAATTAGATGAGAAGCTGTAGGAGGAAAGTAAAAGCAGAAGAATCTGATCCCAGTAAAATCTGATTCAGTAGATCTTGTCCGTCAAATAGCAGATCCGACGGTGAGCTGATTTTCAGGTGACGTGGCTAGGGACTTACCGCGGAGGAGCAGCCCATCTGTTTAGCTAAGGGCGCGTTTAGATGAATTTTTTTTGAGTTTTGGCTACTGTAGCACTTTCGTTTGTATTTGACAATTAGTGTCTAGTTATGGACTAATTAGGTTCGAAAGTTCCATCTCGCGATTTCTCACCCAACTGTGCAATTAGTTTTTTTTTTCGTCTACGTTTAGTACTTTATGCATGTGCCGCAAGATTCGATGGTAAAATTTTTTGGGAACTAAACAGGCCCTAAATTAATGAAGCTAAACATTGGGGAACATCAGCATATTGTACTATTGGACAGAATCACATGGCACATGGAAATCTCCACAAAAGGCATTGAAGACAGCACGGCAGAGAAGCAACACATCTCACGCATTACATACAAGACAGACAAAGTCCACCTTAAACTTATGCAGCTGGTAGCTCTCCTAAGATTCCAAGAAGCAAAGGACCCTCTAGCTGTGTAACTGCGGCATCTCCAGTCAGTCAGCATACTTCACATCTGACAGATACACTCGGGACTGTATGACGCTGGTATCAGGAAACCAGGCATCACCATCAGGCCAACTTTCGGCCTCTCCGCACCCTCTTCTATGACGATGTTCTTCACAACGCTCTCCATGTGGATTTCCGAAAACTCACTTCCCTTTTTCACTTGAAATACCTTAGCCTTTGGATCGAAGGAGTAGGCCAACCTGTGCAGCAACCATATAGACTTCGCAAGCTTTAGGAATGCCTGGTAGAAAGGTGTCCTTGGATGGCCACCGCTCATGACGTAGTTCCTCTGATCCATGTTGCCGAAAAAAGAACCTTCCATCTTTGGATGCACAAGCAATAGGTATTTGCTTGTGCAGAACTTTCCGAATACTGAGTCAGGGTTCTGGCTCAGGACATCCAGAGGATCCATGGCTCGCACTGCGAGGAATTGATGGAAGAAAGCCTCATTGGAAACACTGATGTTAGAATCCTGTATAGAACAGCTCTCTTCTTGGAACCCACTGAACATTCTTTGGCAAATATAGGATTCAAAAGCAAACTTCTTGTGAGCCCTTCTTGCGTAAACTACACTAGGTTCAATCGCATTAGCAGCCCCATCAAGATCCCAACCTGCAGCCTTCATCATTTTGATCAAAGGCTTTGAAAAGTCATGTATCGACTGGTATGCATTATCGACAGCAGATGTAAACAAACTAGGTGTCAATTCAATGGAGAAGTATTTCTCTTCTTCGTCAGATTCCTCTGATTCCTTGTTAAGTAAGCCCCTTTGTTTCAGTTTCTTCTCTAGCTTTGATTTCCGAAGTTTAGCTTCATCAGTTTGCTGCTGTAAATGGGCTATCTCAGTATCTCTAGTCTGGATCTGGGACTGGAACTTCTTTACCAGGATCTCATAGGTCTTTAACAAATTCTGCTGCTCTTGTATTTCAGAAAGCAAGCGTGAATCTTGAGGGGATGCAGCTACTGGCTTAGGATGTTTTTCTCTGTAAGCATGCTTGAGTTCAGAAAGCTTTGTAAGCTCCTCTATGACAAGTTTATCAGCTTCCTGGATCTTATTTTAGAAAGGCGGCAAGAGCTTTACTGGATTTTTATTAGACGAGAAAAAAGCAAACAAAATTTACAAATACAACTAGCAAGGCTTCTCTACTTAAAACTCGACTACAAAGGAAAAAAGCTTCCTGGATCTTATCAGGGTCATATATATGGGGTGTGGGCTTCCTGCAACTGATTGTATGCAGATTTTAAAGAGGATGTGTTGTTAAATATCCTCCCGATCATAGTGTCCATTGAGTCCCGTTCTGATTCATGTTCTCATCGATTGGTTGAGGATGAACTCTTTGATTATTGTTATCATAATTTTGCTACTCCTTTGAGCCTGGGCAGATCATTACTTCCTCACCTCAGGATCAAAGAAGTAATGTTCAACTAATCAATAAAAAAATAGAGCAGTAAAATTTTTCTCATCATATTAATCTTGAACCTCCAGAAATAGACCTCATGCAAGCCATGCAATCGCTCCAAATCACTAACCAAATGATGAGAATGATTGGGCAAATGAAGATGAAGTTGAATTAATATAGCTTGCTTGCTAAAGTGGTTGATACTCAATCCAAACCCAGAGTTGTTCCTATTGCAACTATGGTGCAATATCGGGGGTACAACCAAACCTCTTTTTAGCTAACTTTCGATCTCAAGAAAAAATGTTCAATGTCTGGAAACGTCAACCTTGGCTGGTTGGTCGTAGAGCCATTCTCCTTGAGTGGTTTGACCCTGCCAAAAATATAACTGATTATAAATTCCGACACCTTTATATCACTTAAATTCTTTGGCATTCCTAGAGAACTCAAGAGATATTCATCTCCTTCGTTCCCTTCTTGATCAGATCCAAACCCAGCAAAAATTAATGTCACGAGAAGAACCATCGATCGAATTAAAATTTGCACAGGTCCCAACTCCTTATTCATGGCCTTCGTTCACTACGAAAAAAATTACTGAACTTTGTACCTATTGTGCTGGTTTTTTCATCAATGCCTCCAACTGCCGGACTCGTATCTGCAACAGCGTTCATATTAGACGAAGATTACCGATGCTCACCCTGTACCACATCAGCTCGGCTGCCCTCGACATTACTGCTGGCGGGGTAAACGAAGCCGGCCCCGGTCCACCAGGCTACAGCGAGGCTGTGTTCGGCTGGCTGCTGGCTGATCGCCGGCTGCCTCACAAGATTACTATTTACATCTGAATAGTATTTTTCTCTCACAACAATCAGCCGAAATAGTATTTTTCAGTCCTGTCGAACAGCCCGCTGCACGCTGTCTGCGCTCAAACTCCGATGTGGCGCAGTGTCACTGTTCCTGAGTGAATTTTTTATTGACCCAATCCTAACCCCGTTAACACTTGATTCCAAAACCCATTCCACCGGTATGTGGATGAATAGATGGATAATTACGGGTCAGCAACCGATCGGATAGAATACAGTAAGGCTACATTTAGATTGAGTTAGAAATCAGTATTTGACATGGTAATATTTTCGTTTGTATTTAACAATTATTATCCAATCGTGTTCTAACTAGGCTCAAAAGATTTATCTCGTAATTTACAATCAAACTATATAATTAACTATTTTTTTATCTATATTTAATACTCCATATATGTGTCCAAAGATTTGATATGATAGAAGAAAGAATGAAAAAACTTGTAATCTAAACAAGACCTAAGCTTGCATGCATTGAATAGGAGTTGGCAAGGGTGGCTACACATTTTGTCCATCCAATCCATTCCAATGTCTCATTCAGTGATTCGGCTGCAACATAATGCAATGTTCACAGATTCTAACAGCCTGTTCGCTTGCTCGTAAACGATCGTAAATTTCCAGTCAGAAACAGTGTTTTTCTCTCACACCAAACCAGCCAGCAGTAAATAATTCACGATATGATACGGCCTCCCGAACAGACTGTAAGCTACTATGTAAATACTACTCCATAAGCTCCGTACTACAGAATCAAGTTCACTCAGTAGGGTCCTCAATGACGACGTGGAAGCGGAAAAATAAATGAACACGAGAAAAAAGCAGAACACAGGACGTCGAGTCTTGTGCCTGTGAGAGGTTGAGTCCTCGTAGCTCGTGCATTTCAGGCAGGACACATTGGATTCTAAGTTTTTTCACTCTCTCTCCGTCACATCAAATCTTTATATACATACATGAAGTATTAAATGTAGATAAAAAAATAACTAATTACATAGTTTGATTGTAAATTACGAGACGAATCTTTTGAGCCTAGTTAGACCATGATTGAACAATAATTGTCAAATACAAACGAAGTGCTACAATGCCAAATACTGATTCCTAACAACTATCTAACAAGGCCCTAGCTCATAGAATCCACGACGGCAAAAAAAAATACTGCTACCACTAGCCAGCGCCTGTTGCAGACGCCCTCATTGCGCACCAGCACTGTGCTTCCGCCTGCTGCTGCTGCGAGCATCCACAGTGTGCGGTGCTAGCATGGTCCGATACAATAAATGCGGTTATCAGACCAAGTCCTATACATTGCGGCGTCGATTCGATGGAGACCCCGTGTCTTTGTATCGAACCGGGTTCAAAGCTTCGCCCCTTCCTCTCTCTTCTACTGTTGCTGCTCCCGCCACCAAGATGAAATCGAGGACCGGTGGTGGGGACTACAGGGGAGCCGCTCTGGTCGATGCCGCCGTCTCCCTCGCCTCACGCCGCCGTCGAGGGAGAAATCGACGATGCAGAGGCCACTGCGCACATGCCGGCGGCACCGCACCGCAAGAAGCGTCGCCGCCCCAGACCATCCCGTCGGTGGCATCAGGGGACGCGTCCTTGGCCGGCTTAACGTCGACGCCCGCGTGCTCCGCCGTCAAAAAGAACTGTAGCGTCACTATAGCATTTCGTTTGTATTTGATAATAATTGTCCAACCGTTGACTAATTAGGCTCAAAATATTCGTCTTGCAAAGTACAACCAAACTGTGCAATTAGTTTTTGATTTCGTCTACTTTTAGTACTCCATGCATGTACCGCAAGTTTGATGTGACGAGGAATCTTTTTTTTATAGTGCTAAAGTTGAGAGTTTGGGAGGAACTAAACAAGACGCAGGAGGATGTCTTTTCTTGTGTACAACTTGTAAACTGCTGCTTCTGTGTAGACTCGGGGTGCCTTCATCAGCTCTTCATGGTCACATCTCACAGAGATCTTAAACATTTTACTCACCGACGTAGCTGAAACTCGGGTGGATGCATTGTAGCATGCTTGAAAAGCATGGGAACAGGTCAATATCAACAAGAAATCCTTTGTCTCATCGACCACAAATCCAGTGGTGGTTTCTGAGATAGCAGCTAAGATTTCCGTCATCTTGTTGTGCCAATCAGCTCTCTTTGCAGCAGGCAGCTTGGTTATCAATTTCTCGATATGATCTTTGAGAAATTTCTTATCCCTGGTCTCAAACTTGACGTGGAAGATAGACTCAGAGATACTCTCACAAGCCAACCTGATGAGCTCCTCCTATTTGAGAAAATAATAAAGGTATGTGACTTTAAACATCAAACACCTCGGCTGGGCAGGCAAAACATCGAACACCTCAGCTGGGGCAAAAACATTCCGTTCAATAAAACGGTACCAATTGGTACCACTAGAAGATGAGATGTTATGATGGGTGCTTTACATTGGGGGCCGCAGTACCGGATGTGCCGCTCGCGGGCATCACCGGGGTGGATCCGGCCTTGCTGATCTGCGCCAGTGCACCTGGAGCAGGACTGGGCACCTGTGCGGGGTCGGGTCCGCGGGGCGGCGGCGTGGATCCGGGGACCGGTGGCGTGGACCCCATGACGGGAGCAGTCGCGATCCGGAGGACGGAGAAGAGGACGGTGTGAATCCCACGGGGAGCAGCGAGCGGGTACGGCCGTGTGAAACCTGTAGCGCGCCGCCTGCGTCGGGCGCAGCTGTGGGAGGGGGATACCACTATACCAGAGCAACGGGCGCGCTCCAAGTACAGTGGAGCATGTGTGTTTTTTGCGAGAAGTTTCAAGGAGAGCAGTGAGCAGAGAGTAGACAGGGAATGGCCCATGGCCCATTGATGCATGGGCCTCCAAGCAGTGGTCTGAACAGGCCCATGAAAGTATCTCCACGTTTATCAGCCCGGTTCCTATCAGCCCACACTACCTTTCCCTCAATAGTCACTATCACACCAAAATCACAAACATCCCTTATATTAAGGCCCCGTTTGGCAGGGCTTCTCTAGCGTCTTCAGGAGCCGTTTGGAGCCGTTTTCTGCCAAACGGGTTAAAATAAAACGGCTCCACCGATGAAGCCTCTAAAAACGTGCTCTCACAGAGCTTTGGAGTGGAAAGGAGCTAAAAATAGTGGCTTTTCCCGGCTGCTCCTTCAGGCCTCTAAAAACATGCTCTCACAGGGAAGCCATTTTACCAAATGGTTTACCAAAACCGCTTTAGCTTTATTGGTGGAGCTGTTCGTGGAGCTGAAGACAAAAAAAAAAATAGCTTCACTAGTGAAGTGAACCTCTGCTAAACGGGACTTAATTTAAAAAAAGCATCAGAAACGTCTGACACAATTGCTCCTTTTATTATGCAGACGAATCTGAATGCATAGATGTTTTTTTGCATGTATACACGTTTTTTTTTGCACACGTGTCTTGTGCCCAGTAATGCTTGTGCCTGTGCGGGCGGTCACTGAAAGTAGCAGCCTCTTGACGTTCCCACAAAAAAAGCAGTCTCTTGTTGTTATACTACTCCATACATAGACCATACAAACTGGAATGTTGTTCATTCCATTCAGTCCTTCACCCTTTGTTTTTGTTTATATATTATATTATTGTATTTATTATTATTTATATCTTTGTGTGGTTCCAATTCATTTCAGGTTGGTTTGGTACGAATATATAGCGAGCCCTTGGTCACGCCTCACGCGTTTATTTTTATCTATATCTATTGTTTGAACATTGAATTCTTAACTTGTTGGTTGTTGGTGAGCCTCAGGTTTACTACAGTACGCAGTAGTTGGTGGTAGGCAAATATTCGCATGGCAAAGGAAAAATGATCAAACTTAGAATAATTTGATTTATTAGAATGAACAAAATTAAATAAAAACGTCTATATTTTGGGATGGGAGGAGTAGTCAGTATATATGTACACATATTTCCTAATGTTCATATATATGTTCAGACCTAGAAGAGAAAGATCATTAGTTGCTAAAAGAATCTTTGAAAGTTGATGAGTTTATTTTTATTTTTATTTTTGGAAAATGCCAATGAGCCTCTAGCCCAGCTGACTAGAGCCCCTCAATGGCACTCCACATGTCCTGTGTTCGACTTCCCATGTGAGCGAATCTTCAGGTATTTATGCCGTGGTTAAAAAAAATCCCTTCGTCTGTCCCATAGCCAAAGCACAGGTCGTTAGGCCCGGCCTAGTTCTCACAGGGCGACGGTGCCCCTGTGTCGGGGTGGGGCGGAGGTTCGGGGATTTTTCTCGATCTGCGTGAGAAGGTCTTCTTCTTCAGCACAATGCCCGGGTGCTGTCTTACCCTCGCGGGTCGAGTTTTTTTTTGGAAAAAATGGAGGCTGAGTTGATGAGAGTCCAAATAAAGAGATTGAACATCAGGAGGCTGCTAACGAATATAATAACAAGCCTCGTAAGTCGTAAACTATATACCTGTACTATAAACTAATATGGTTAGGGTCAACTAACATGTGTAACTACAACTGTATTGATGTTGATTTTGATGTATGACGTAGGAGTATAGTAGGACAGTGCCAGTCAGGACTTGAGTAAGTTTATTTGTTTTTTTTTGCGAGGAGGACTTGAATAAGGTTGAAAACATGCGGCATCAGCGGCGTATCTGAAACGACCTTGATTTCTATGAAGGAAAATCCACAGAGTCGAAGTGTAATATGACCATTTAAATCACATTACCCAATTTCCAGTTGAATATCAAAATCCATACATCAAAAATAGAGAGTGCAATAGTACGGATTACATTTACTTATTACAACGCCACAAGGCGGGATCACGAAACAAGTAACAACTTGAACAGCTTGGAAAGGCGGAAGCGATCAACTCCAATAGGCTTGAGCGTAAGACGATCCCTCAATCCTCATAGTCATCCCCATCGTAGTCATAATCCTCCTCAAAACCTGTGTGCCAAAGTATCAGTACGATATGTACTGGCCACTCCCACCCTATGCTTTGCTTTGTGGAAATTGGATGCAAAATGGATATAATCGGAAGACCTAACTCTGGCTGTGGTTTCCTATGCAAGTAGTAAACAAGTTAACTATATAATAGTAATAAGTCAAGTTTTTAACCCAATCTCATCCACACATTCTCCCAATCCACCACACACATCTCACCACTCTTGAAAGGTCCTAATATGGCTAGAGGGGGGTGAATAGCCTATTTAAAAATCTATAAATTAATTAGAGCAATTTGATTAGTATGATAAATAGCGTAATGCAAACTTGCTCTAGCTCTACAAGGGTTGCAAGCCACCTATCCAACAATTCTAGTTGCAATGAACTATTTGCACACAATCTACTTGACCACTACTCACTAAGAGCTCTCACAAATGCTACACTAAAGAGCTCCACTAGATATGATTAAAGCACGAGGCAAGCTCTCAATTCTAGTTACACTAAAGAGCTTGCTATATCTAGTTTGCGGAAATGTAAATGAGTAAGTGATACGATTATACCGTCGGGTCGTGGAGTGAACCAATTACACGATGAATATATAGCCAATCACAGAGAGAATGCAAATGACAAGAGACAACCGATTTTTCTCCCGAGGTTCACGTGCTTGCCAACACGCTAATCCCCGTTGTGTCGACCAACACTTGGTGGTTCGGCGACTAAGAGGTGTTTCACAAACCTCGTCCACACGATAGGACACCGCAAGAACCGACCCACAAGTGAGGTAACTCAATGACACGAGCAATTTACTAGAGTTACCTTTCGGCACTCCGCCGGGGAAGGTACAACTCCCCTCACAATCACCGAAGGCGGCCACGAACAATCACCAACTCGTGCCGATCCTTCACCGCTGCTCCAACCGTCTAGGTGGTGGCAACCACCAAGAGAAACAAGCGAAATCCACAGCGCAACACGAATACCAAGTGCCTCTAGATGCAATCACTCAAGCAATGCACTTGGATTCTCTCCCAATCTCACAATGATGATGGATAAATGATGGAGATGAGTGGGAGGGCTTTGACTAAGCTCACAAGGTTGCTATGTCAATGAAAATGTGCAAGAGTTTTCCCTTGAGCCGTCCATGGGGCTATAAATAGAGCCCCCATCAAATAGAGCCGTTGTACCCCTTCACTGGGCAAAACACGCTCTGACCAGACGCTCTGGTCATACCGACCGGACGCTGGCCCTCAACGTCCGGTCGCCCGATGGACGCCACGCGTCACCAGCTTCAAACGTTGTTCGTCAGATTTCAACGGCTACGAAGCTGATCGGATGCTCCGGTCAAAACTGACCGGACGCTGAAGCCCCAGCATCCGGTCGTTTCCAGTAAGCTCCTCGAGGCATGTTTTTTCGACCGGACGCGTCTGGTCCACCTTGACCGGACGCAGACCAGTGTCCGGTGCTCAACCTTAGCCACTGTGCCGTCTGACAGCTCAACCGGACGCAGCCTTTCAGCGTCCGGTCGCTGAGTGACCCAGCGTCCGGTCAGCAGACCGACGCCAGCATCATTTTGACCAACTCCATTTCAACTCTAACTTCTTCACCCTTGCTCAAATGTGCCAACCACCAAGAATTTTGTATCCGGCGCAATAGAAAATAGACATTTCATTTTTCCAAAAGCGCCGAATCCTGCCTCGCAAGCTCGGTGGGAGGGAGAGAGGGACCCAAACCCATCTCAACCCTGCAAACACCTTGTGCACATGTGTTAGCATATTTTCACAAATATTTTCAAGGGTGTTAGCACTCCACTAGATCCTAAATGCATATGCAATGAGTTAGAGCATCTAGTGGCACTTTGATAACCGCATTTCGATACGAGTTACACTCCTCTTAATAGTACGGCTATCTATCCTAAATGTGATCACACTCACTAAGTGTCTTGATCACTAAAACAAAATGGCTCCTACATTTTATACCTTTGCCTTGAGCCTTTTGTTTTTCTCTTTCTTCTTTTCAAAGTTCAAGCATTTGATCATCACCATGCTATCACCATTGTCATGATCTTCGTCATTGCTTCATCACTTGGAGTAGTGCTACCTATCTCATAATCATCTTGATAAACTAGGTTAGCACTTAGGGTTTCATCAATTAACCAAAACCAAACTAGAGCTTTCAATCTCCCCCTTTTTGGTAATTGATGACAACCCTTATACAAAGATATAAATTAAAGTTCATTTGAATCCATGTTGCTTGCCCAAGCTTATTTACCATGTGTAAAGGGTATAGGCAAGTTTCATGAACTCCATATGGTAGTAATTGCTCCCCCTACATATGTGCTAAGAGTTTGGATTGTAGCTTGCACATATGCTTAGATAGGAAATATAGGAGTCAATTTCTACCAAATGATGCTAAGGTATAAGAGATGGACCTTTGAAGCGTGATACCAATCGGATCTCCCCAGGTTGGTCATAATTGGCACCGCGTGCCTTATCCACATTATCAGCCTCTACCACGCATCACATCGAGATATAAAGCGTAGTAGACGAAATGATCAATAATAATAGCAGATGCACGTCTATCCTATCAGCGGGTGAGCAGGGTGAAGGTTACGTCAAGGTAGTGGCCAACAAGTAAATACTACCATGCAAGTCCTATCACAGTTATTTTGCATAAATGTAAAGCACTAGCAGGTCTAGATATTAGCAATGCGTAATAGGATCTACGAGGTTGGGTGGGACGTGGCACCTCCGCAGTTGTCGCCCAGGTTCTCCTCGTACTCGTAGTCCTCCTCGTCAGGCTGTTCCTCCTCCGGTTCTGAAATCGGAACATAATAGTCACGTTAGCGACTCCTATAGATTATCACAAAGAACCACTGAATATAAAAAAGATTCAAATACAATCAATCATAAGCATATGACTTAGAT